CAAAGGCAAAGCCTGTTCTGCAGGAGTCTGGGGCTGGCATCTCCCAGCTCCTAAGTGCCAGCTGCCAGATAGTTTTGTTTTTATTAGGTTGACAGCTACACATGGGTGGGTGCCAACTTTTGTTCATTATATTTCATATTTTATAGCTTTGGTTTAGGTTTGGAAAGCTGTCGGCATTTGGAACGACAGCAGCCCCTGCCCCTGAGGGACAGTCAAGGCTTTTTTTCTCCTTTCCTTTTTAACTTCTCTCTCTTCCACGACAGCTGCACTTTCTACCGGTCCTTGTTGGCTGTCCTCCTCTCAGCCCCCCCAGGGCTCTGCTCCTTCCTTGCAGCTCAGTGTTTAAGTCACGTCACAAGCAATGTTTAGCTTTGCTGCAGCAACTCTATGGCAAACAAACGGAGCTCAAACAGATTGGAAACGCAGCGTTTTGATAACACCTACACATGACATTGCAACTCCAACAACCTGTCCTTCAAACCGACCCATCAGCTGACCACGCAGCAGATAGGGATCAATCCAGCAAGGTTGTTAGCTCCCACAATGAGGTGGCTTCAAAGGAAATATATGAGCTTCAGTAACTTGGCCAACTGTCTCATTCAAAGCTGCAACAGGGACATTTCACAAAAGGGCAGCTATCTGCCAGACACTGTCAGCAAGCATTGGCCATGACACATTTGTAAAGGAATAAAGCAGACTTGAGTTACCTGGAAAGTTTGTTTACCAGGAAATCCCGTGGTGGGGATTGGTTTCACTGTTTGGCGGCACAAATGTGCCCAGTGGAACTCAGGATTCTAAGTGTCAGACAGAAGCATTAGCTGGCAGATTCTCTTTGCATTTTTGTATTTGAACTGTCAGCTCCTTATTTGTGACTAACACGCTGCTTGTAAACTAGCACTGACTTTGTTGTTCATGAGGACTTTCTAAAGGACAAACCTTGTTCTTGATCAACTATCCGTTTAGGATTACTTTGCTCTATTTATTTTTTTTTTAAATCTGAAGATCAGTCTTTTTATACAATATTTAGAGAAAAAGCTTTGATTAGAGGTACTGTCTTCATTGTATTTTTCAGGCAAGAGCAAAACTACTAACATTTGGTCACGCATTTACATATTGGATGACCCTTCATACTGCAGTCTATGAAACTTTCTGCATTCTTCAAATATATTTCACTATTAGCTCACTACAACTGAGGAGTAAAAATTCATTACAAAGTAGCAGAGAACAAATAATGAAACCTACTCCAGCCAGCTCAGTCTGGATTCCCCATTTACTGCCAAGGAAGAACACTGTCCTGGAGCATGCACTGAGCAAGTCTACAGCTGTCAGCCTGGATCCTCAACATCAGCATCTTCAATGTTCTTTCAAATGAAAGCGTTTCAGTAACTGTGAGTGAGGAGACTACGAATTCGCAGAGGAATCAACAGCATCCACTTCTTGCAGCTCTTATTTATTGGTCAGATATGCAGAATCACATTACCATAGTTTGTGAACTAGAAATCTGACAAGAGCAATTTGACTCTTGTATTTACATTTCTAGCAGTTTCATCTTGTCATTTGTGGTTTTCTTCAAATTAGAAAACAATTAAATGAAGACTCTGGCAAAGAAGCAGAGCCAGATGTAACAGTTTCTCTTTACTCTTTGTTAATAGCAGCAGCAGCAACGTAATTTAATTCTGTCAGCTCTTCAGCTGCTCAGCAGCTGAGGAGATATGCAAAGGAAGAACAGGATTACTCTCCTGGCACGTTGGATCAGCGTCCAATATTCTATCTGCCAAAAAAAGGAGAGCCCTTGAACCACAGAACCACATCTCTGCTGGGACTCCGACAGCATCACTCAAACCTCTCTGACCTCACATACAGTGGAGCTACTCTGACACTGTTTGGAGAGCAAAGAGTCATGAGTTCAAATTGCACTAACCCAAAAGCAAGCAAATGAAGCTCTCTCTATTAAAGACATATTATTCCAGAAAATTGTATGGCCAAAAAACCAGAATTTTCTTACACTAGACTAATTTGACTACAAGTTAGGTATTTCCACATATGCCTCACCTATCTGGCCCCTCCAAGCTACACACACACACACACACACACACACACACACACAGCAATGGATTATTTGATGTAGAAGACACTTCACCCCACACCTGCAGATGTCTGAGGACAAAGCTCTGAGATAAGGAGCTGTTCTTAGGATGGGGCTCCAGCACAAGACTGCAGACATCTGAGCATTTTTTGTGAGAGCCTCCCAGCCTGGTACCAGCTCCCCTTTTCATCGCTATGGTCAAATCATAGACCAAAAGCCAGAAAAAATATTTAGGCACCTGACCCCTTGATTTCTGTGAGAATAGCAGCACTACCTGGCACACAGATGAAAGCACACTCATCAAATATTGCCAGGCTGTATCTGACACTATACTGATGACACAGTAAAATATCTTTACACAGATACTTGAATAGGGACTGGAGGAGAGAAATAAAGTCTTAGATCCATGGAAACAAGTAAAACAGTTAAAAACAGACAGCAAAAATCTATGAGCAAATCTTCATTGAGTCCTATCTGGGAAGCCTGCATGCAGTTGGATGATTTTTTCTTTAGTTATAAATGTCCACAAACAATTGACATAAGACAGGACAATTGTTCACAGACTTGCCTTTTTGTCTGACTGTCCTGAGCAGCAGCACCATTTGGCTGTCTCAAAAGAAAAGAAGTCAGGTGTGAATTTGCTTGAAGGAGGAAGGTTATGGGGTCTGAACCTACATTCTAGCACTACCAAAGCTTTCTACAAGGTCTCTAGTTTGTAGAGTCACTTCACCCACAGCCATAGGCTGGATACATCTGCCACTGGCAGTAGCTGTCCCTGTTTTAAAAGTGGGCTCTAAGAATTAATCTTTAATAAAGTTTGTCACTGGAGCTCTTGAAGTTAAGATCAAAGGGCCATATGAACGCTGCCCTCAGGTGCTCAGGCACTTCTCCCATAGAAGTCACCAAAGAATTTGGCCCACAGTATGTTACTCCTCCTTATACCAATTAATTTTTGCATACTAATTAGTATGCCACATTATAGGTTTGAACTGAATGCTCCTGTTTCATTTGTTTTGCATTTTCTGGAAAAGAATTTGCTCAAAAATGTCATATAATGTTTCCTTTGAACAACGCGAAGAAAAAGACCCAAACCTTGCAGCAATCACACTGACCTTAAATGATTGACAATAAACTCTTCCATTACTGGGATTCCCCTTCATCTCCTAGAAGAGGTTTCTTTTAGTCTCATCCACCAGAGCAAGCTGCCTAGAAACATTTTTAATTACTGTGTATTTTGCTCTGGAGGAAAGAACATGACTTGTGCTGATCACTCTCTTAAAGAAGATTATAATCCTAGCAGCAAAACAAGTTGCTTGCCTAGATGAGGATCAATGAAAATGTTGTATGTGCAGACTGAGACTGGAGCCTCAAAGAGAGCAACCCTGGCTACACAGTTTGTGGTAATATTATATGTTAACAACAACTGAAGCAATAAAGTCACAGCTTAAAGCCTCTGCTCCAGCCTCCTGTTATTGCTGCTTTGGTCAGATGCAGCTGAAGCAGAAAGGCTACATTCTCACAACTCTGATTCACTGATGGTCAGTCCTGGTAGATTTTTCTTGGCACACCCAACTTCAGTAATTGCATCTATTTATCCCTGGGATTTGCACCAAACTGGAACCAGTAGGTCAGGTAGGCTCACTGCTGTTCAGATTTCAGCAATACTGCTCTGCAGTTTTGTGTCCAAATGGAAAGGAAAGCGTTTCTCAGAAACTAAACCAGGCATAAAAACAAACAAGACCCCTTCCCCAGTCCCTTCCCTGAACAGCTATTATAGGTTTTATAGGAAACAGATGATTGTTCTCCAAATTAAACTCACAAGAACACAATTGCTGAATTGTTGGTCTCCACCCCAATATCTTTTGGGCCAATCAATTCTTGTACCAGATAGAACTAATTTTTCCCACTATCCCAAACAGATCCAGAACAGGACAGTAAAGGTAACAGAGGCTTGAGGTGACGTTATGATCCACATAAGGAAAGCATCAATATAACCTTACAATGAATTGCTAGAAATTAAGTATCAGAAAAAAGAAATCCGATAGGAACTACTGGTTTAGATTAGACTCTTCTCGCCTACTCAATATTGGATTACACAGTTCCTACATGTTAAAGGGGCATATAATGAAATAGAATTCAGGTGACACGTCTAGTTTACTTTTTCTATGACCAACTACAAGACAACACATGCAAGGTTACTTCAGGAAAACTTCAGTGTTTCACTGTAGTTTATAAGCAATGTGTTTTTTCTGATGTCTTTGCGTTTAAAACCCCAGTAGAATTTATCCATTAATGGATAAGAAATTAGAAGAAAACCCTACATTTTAATGTGAAGAATGCACTTGGAAATGCTAGGAAACTCAGCACTTAAAATTCACAGCAATAATGCACTGAGGAATATTTCTCCTTAAAACCAAGACCCCAGTTAAGTGTTTTCAAGAACAACATCACTGTCTCTATGAAGATAACTGAGTCCTCATTATTTACAGTTCCTGAAATATTCAAGACTGTTGGGTATGGGGGTGAGCAGGAGGAGGTTGTTATTTGCTTGAGATTTTATTTTCAAGAAGGTAAAACAGGTGCTTGGTTTTCTGTTGCCTTTTTTTTTTTTCTTGTAGCATCACATTTTAAAAAACTGTCCAACTACAAGGTTTTCTTCCCAGCTGCATCTCTTTTCTATTCTTATGGAAAAATATTGTATGGCTGTTCATATAGGCAAGCTTTTGCTTAGATTACCAGTGACATCCCAAGAAGCTAGACAAAAAGTTACCTTTTACTTGCAGGGAAGTAAGTAATTCCTGCTACTTAGCACTGCAGTAGCTACTGCATTACGCCTACATTATGTTATGTCCAGAAACAAAATTGTTTTGGTGTAGCATCATTTAGACCTTTGAAAACAAAAGTGGTCTTTTACCTTTTGTCCATCAGTAGGAGATGCGATGGCTGAACCCTCCATGCTGGGAAGCAGAAGACAATGGAAGATGGAGCAGAGCTGTCTTTGCAATCACAGGAAGGGAACGATGCTGCAGAAGAATGCTGTCCAGGAAGGCTATAGGGAGAAAAAAAGCCAAAGAGAGTCAAAAGTGGTCAATATATCAGGAGAAGCTGGGCTAAGGGTCAACGAGAAGGAGCATCACCTGGTTGGGGAGGTCACACCTGTATTAGTATTAGTTAGTATTGTTAGTATTAAACTAACGAGCTTGACAGGAAAAAAGAACAGCAGTGGAGTAAAAAAAAGAAAATAAATTAAAATAAAAGAAGAGAAAAAGAACACATATGTAGTAGCTACAAGACAAAAAGGAACTTATAATATTTAACTTATTCTATGCTATTTAACTCTGGTAAAAAAATGCTATGTCCAAAGTCGCTGCAGTGTTGTCAAACCCAATTGTGTTATTGAGAGCTTGGCAAACTTTCATTTCTTAAAAGAATTCCAGAACTCCAGTTCTTTGACTTAAGTGATTTTCTAATAATTTAGGTTTTATTCTTTTTTTTTTTTTAAAGATGTTTCATGCTGTCACTGTGCTTGAGAAAGGATTGAAAATGCATGTGCTGAAGAACTAAAATCTGTAAGTCAAAACCAAAGATTTGAAATGCTCTTAGAAGTAATAAACCTGGAGCATCAATCAAGCCTCTTTATAAGCTGACTTCTGAAAGATCCTTGCCCTAAAACTGCAGGTATTTCCAAGTGACCTGGCCTTTGAGAAAAACAAGAAATACGAAGGGGAATAAACACAAAGCCCTTCAGTTTTTACATCCTAACTTTAAGAATACCAAGCCCTGCAATACAAAAGATATCAGGAGGTCTCAGCAGCCCAGTGGTTCCCCTTGGTAAATACCTATTATCTTATCAGCTGGAGGACAGCCCCCATGCCATGTCATTCCCTTTCCATCACTGCTGCATAATACAGCTTCATTTCATTTTTGAAAGAAGTTTGTTTACCAAGAGGAAAGGCAAAAAGAATATGTTTTGTCACCTCTATGCTAAACCTATTGTCTCCTTCCTAAAAGCAATCATCTTTAGATATTAAAATGGCATGATCTGGATATTGCATAGCATTTCTCCTAATCTTCCTGCATTGCCAATTCAGTTCACAGATTGCATTCATTCTCCCTTGAAAAGCTTACAATGTTGAGTCAGAACTTTCCTAAGAAATAGCATTTGCTCATATCAGCCTCATGTTAGCAAGGCAAGGACAAAGTCAAGAGCAGAGGAGGGACTGCTTTTATAAGCAGAGAGGAGAGTCAGAGGCTGGAGCTGGTTATGACATCTTTTTGAACAATTCAGATTAAAAGGGAGAAATACACCAAAGTCATTTTTTCTTCTAGTCATGAAATAATAACAGTAAGAAAGGTAGAGAGCACAAGCCATACTTAAACACAATGATGGATAATGTGCTTTCCATCACTGCAGATGAAACAAAATGAGAATAAGTCAGTCAGATCTTTTCCCCGTCCATGTTGAGATCTGTTTTGTTCTGGTCTGAGTTCTGCTTTCCCGATCCTTCTCTGAAAAGGAGCAGAATATAAACCTCCTGTTCTAAATGCAAGAACTTTGGGGCAATTTGCCAGGGAGGTCATGGAGTCTCCTTCTCTGGAGATGTTCAAGACCTGCCTGGATGCCAACTTGTGCGACCTGCTGTAGGGAACCTGCTTTGGCAGGGGGGTTGGACTCGATGATCTCTGGAGGTCCCTTCCAACCCCTACAATTCTGTGATTCTGTGATTCAATTTAGATTCTTATGCAACCTAAAACCTTGGGCAGAGAGTCAGTGCCAGATGCAAGCACACTACAGGCAAGGAAACTGTCCCTCAAAATGGTTCCTCCACTTGCCATTTCCTCTGAAAAACAAGAGCACTATGAAAGAACAAGATGTACATATAACTGTGTATCTCATCGTGTATGCATCTATCCAGCCAGCTGAGCTTTGTTATGTTGTACAAAAGAGCCTGCATACCAAATTCCATCTTTTTGTGGGGTTATTTTTGACTCACAGATTATAAAACTAAAACTTCACACACAACTTCTCTTTCTGAATCTCCCCTGAGGCAGGTGAACCCTTTGACCTGGCTTCATCTCTGTCCATGGTTCAACAAACAAAATTTCCCCTGTGATACAGACATGCACCCCTGTTCCAGATCTGCATTAAGGCTTTGCTGGAGAAGCACTGAGCAAAGGCAACAGCACCTGGGAGCTCGAAGGAAGCAATTCAGAGACATTATGCTCTATCAGTGCAGGTTGCTAAGACCAACGTAAAAGATGTCATGCTTGCATGGATCGCCCATCTAACCCTAGAGAAGCCATTAATAAAGACACATTTTTAATTTTGCACACAGTAAGATCATACAGGGCTCACAAAGCAGCAGAAATGTACCTATAACTCTTCTGTGTATTTCCAGACAAACGATGCAGCTTTCTTTATGACATCAATTTATTTTTTTTTACTTTGCAATTACGTAAAAACAGCAATAACATGGGAGAGAGAGATGATGTGACGGATCCTAATGCTGAATTATTCATTGCCCTTCAGCTGCTGACTTCACATCAGACAGTTCCCAATGCACCTCACATAAATCACAGTGGATCTTTTTTGCCACAACCACTCTAAGATCCTATTGAGTGCTTTTTTACCTAAATACCATAGGATAATGGTCTTTCAAGGAAGGGATGCACATACACTGATGAGAAGGGAGGTCTGTCCCTGCAGTCATTGACATTTGGTAAGGAGGAATAGCAGTATAACGCACTTAAAGAGATCCATTGGATGCGTAGGGTTTATACAGAAATTAAGCCACACACACACACATTCATTTTATAATGAAGAGTATATACTTTGGCATACCTAATATCCAAGATCTGATAAGCTATATTACTTTGCAGGCTTGATTCTTGTAAGGATACCAACACAATAAAATGTTTGAGGATAAAAGAGAAATTAATTTCATTGCTTCAGTTTTGCATTTAACTGTTAATTTGCTGCGCTCACTTCCAAGAGATGGGGCTTGATCAGACAAACTCTCTCACAACTTGGATGAGAGTGAGCTGGGTTTGCAATGTCACAGATCAACCATAATCAAACTGCAAACTGCAAAGGAATGTGCTGACCTTAGGGAACATTCACAATAAAGTTGGTGCATTGCATACGCTACATTGGCCTCCAGACCAGTGAAAGATTTAAGAAACATGTTTCATTTCTACTATTGAGGCTCTTGGGCTGGTTAATCACTGCTGACTGTGAACTCTTCAGGGGTCTGGGTTTTTCACTATTCTGCCTGCAGAGGGTCTATTGCAGTGGGACTCCTACTCACTAGTTCCATAAGTGCTATGACCTACACTATGGTGAACAGTAAAAACATCATTCTTAAGATATTCCCATCTTTCAGTAGGTAATCCCTCCATCAACAACTTTTTTAAGGATGCCTTGGCAGGCTGTTTTATTTTGCTGCAAAAGAACAAATGGGTAAACCTCCTTCTCCCCACTCTCCCTCAAGCTACTTTTGACACCTTCACAGATCACACGGGGCTCAGAAACAAGGCCAGATTACTGCAGCAGAACAAATCGGCATACCTCTGCTGAGCTATGGCAACAGTCAGTACATTCTCTCTCAGCCCTTAGAGCAGTTGCAGGGTGGTACCATTTCCCTGAGCTTGGCATGAAAGGTGTTGAAACAGAGTTGGTGCACAGGCACTTACCGCTGACACACAAATCATATATTAAGTCACATTTAATGTCTCCAAGGCTTAGAATACAGCTTTAATTCATGTCCTACCTTATGCAGTAACCTAGAGAACTGCCTAGAGCAAATATCATCTTTCAGCCACATGGGCAATTTCATTCTGTACGTTGTGCAATTGTGTTTGTGTCCATCTGCTCCAATGGTTTTCTTTTTAACGTAACATTTACTTCTCTGAAGCCTTGTCATGGAATTTATTCCTACTATTAGTGTTTGTAATATGGTCACTCTATTTTGTGGGAACTCATAAAGTACCAATTAGAAAGAGCGTCCCTGCATGGAAGACTTCAGCCACAGTCTTGTTTACACTATTTGTCTGTCTATGCCAGGAGCAGGGGATGCAAAAACAGCAGGATACCAAAGAACAAGAGAAAAAGCAAAGAATCCTCCATTTGATCTTTCCTGTCACAGGCCAGTTTTAGCTTTCAGGACACTCTAGCATAGATACCAACACCTGCTTTATGTCAGTAGTTGACATATTTTAGATTTCATTGTTCATATAAGATCATAGCAAGTGATATATCATAAATGTATATGACAAATATATGCAACATCACAATTAAGTTGACTGCCAATAATAGCTTTTTTTTTTTTTTTTTTTTTTTTTTGCTTTTGGAGACTCAAAGCAAATAAGGAGGTTGGGCAAGAGTGAGACTTCACAAACCTAGAACTCGATTCCAGATCTCCCAAGACTCAGCAGGAATATTCATGTGCATCTGTAGGATGAGGGACTGCAACAGTAATCCAACTTGGATGTAATCCAGCCTGGATGAAATTTAATTTACTCAAGAGATCTCAGTAAAAAATGCTGGTTTCATGAAAATATAACATTACTATTGATTTTTTTTTAAGCTGTAAATTGGGCAAATACAGACGTAAATGCAAACCACAAAATACTTGAATAGATGCACAAAGGACATCCAGTCACCAGACTAAAATCATTGGAAACTTGCTTCCCCCCCCATCCATTCTTTCTCTTTTTCTGTATTTTGTTAACATTTCAAAAAGAAGAAAATATGTATTTCTGACCTCTTTGTTAAAAATATCACAAGATTCATTAAGAGAAGTATTTGGAAACCTCAAAACTCTTCTCCATTTCCATGAGTACCTGAAATCTAATGCTTCTGATTAAGCAGAGAAGGGATGAACTGTTATGTGAAGCCTACAACAATAATTGTGAGCTGAAGAATGGCATGTTCATTGCAAGTAGCTGGTAATGATTTCATGCAGAGGATTAGAGGACTGGACGGGGAGCCGAGCTGAAGTTTGTTTACAGACAAAGGGAGCTGTGTGCAGGGTGCTGGTGGCTCCCAGA